CCTATTCGCATAGATGCCGAACAGCAGTGAGTAAATATCCGAATGCTGCTGAGCGGCATTCGGCTCGGCTGTTCTGCTCGCTCCCTCTGTGGTAACGAGCAGAATAGAAAAATAGTTTAAAAAGTAGAAAAAAAAAATAGAAAACGATTGTGCAGAGCTAGCAGTGACAGTTAGCTCCGCCCAACTGTTTTCTATTGGCCGGGCGGTTCTGCTGCCGTCAAAAAGAAAAAAACTCTCCCAGAAAGTTTTACTCTGCTCGATCGTTGTGTTTTTTTTTTTCTTCTGACATCGGAGCCGTTGGTTGCCATCAGAACAAAAAATAATAATAATAATAATAATAAGCATAGGAATGCATAGATAGATTCCTATTGGCTATTTCAACTTGCAATAGCCAATAGCAAACTAGCTATTGCATCCACCCTCTGCTGCTGTCAATCACTAGAGGGGACCTGATGGAGAACTGCAGGTCCCCTCTGCTGATTGACAGCAGCAGAGGGCGGGTGCAATAGCTAGTTTGCTATTGGCTATTGCAAATTGAAATAGCCAATAGGAATCTAGCAATGCATTCCTACGGTGAAATTGTTTTCGATGTCAGAATAAAAATTGAAAGTAACTCTCTTCAGGGCAGCTGGGAAAGTTGGGCTATCTGGAGATCAGTGTCCCTGGTTATCTGGTAACCAAGGACGCTGATCTGCCTGTGCAAGTGTCCGGAGCCAGCCGTGAGATGACGGCTGGCTCTGCCCAGCAGTCCGTAGCAGACTGTCGGCCAGCCAATGGCCAGCCTTTTGGCCAGCTTCGCCTTTCACCTCGGCTCAGTCAAGCCGATACATATGCCTTCGGCTCGACTGAGCCGCTCGGCCGACTTCGGCAGCTGTACAGGCTATAGGGAATAGCCCGTACAGCAGTACTTCGGTTCTACCGAACCGAAGGGGTCTTGGGGCCGAAGCTAGCCAAATGATCAGCCGAAGCTACGGCTAGATCCTTCGGCAGCTAAGTGATTAGACCCCAAAGTAACAAATCCAGCTTTTGCAACAATATTAACTTTAAATCCAGAGTCCCTCCCCCCCTTTCCCGCAATACTTTTTCTGCCTCTAGAGGTCCTCAGTCTGATGGGCAACATCTATCAACTCACTTCCTCTGAACCCAGGTCATCCTGGACCGGCCCGCAGTCAGAAAAGATACAGATTGAAAACCTCATCTCTGTGTCGCTCTGCTTTCTCTTATCAACATGCTTCTTGTCAGAGCATTAACTGATTGGTTCCTTGTGGTTTCTTGTGCTGCTTCTTCCTTTCACGCTCTAAGCTCTGCTGTGCAGGACTGGAAGAGGCTGATACCAGGTCACACTCAGACGCTTCCGCTGCTTGTATTTACAAAAAATAAATAAATGGAATGATGTATTAATGATTACAAAGCTGAGTTGATGTCTTTTATTACTGGCTAGAGTTCAGCTTTAAGTTTTCTGATCTTCACCATAATTATCAGTTAACACAACAGGTCCAATTAAAAAGTTAATTAGTGACCTAAAACCTTCTTGTACTGCTACAAGGTGAATCTTTGAACTTTGTAACAAGTAAAATTCTTCTTAATAATCATTTACTGCTCCTCATCCGTTTTCCTGCAGAATAAAAATAAACTGAAGGTCCCGACGATGTAGAAATAGATAGAGGACCCCCAGAGCCCCCCTGGACCGTCTCCACCAGAACCCTCATTTCCTCTTTGCACTGGGTAAGAATGTATTGTATTAAAAGGGGGAAATTTTGGATCCTTCGCTGTATCACTCCCTGCAGTATAAACTTAGAACTATGAGGTGAGTGGAAATCACTCATCTCATAGTTCTCCTTTAAGACCCCATTCACACTGAGCGACATGGAGAATCGTGCGTTTTTCCGCACGATTTGGAGCTGAGCGGCATTGTGCAACATTGCGCGTTATTGAGTGACAGTGCACATAGTGTCGCGCTACGTAGCGCGACTTTTGGGAGGGACTTAGTCGCTGCTACATCAGGCTGTAACCAATCAACAGCGGTCTTGATGTGACATCATTCCTTCCTTCCATATTGCTCTGCAAAAGTGACCCTTCTGTAGTGCGATATCGCGCGACAAGGTCGTGCAATATCGCCGGTAATGCGCGACATTACGCGGAAATATGCGCGATTTTGGAGCGGAAGTCGCGCGACAAACCGCTCAGGCGGCTCCAAGGGTTGTGTGTGCCTTATCTGCCTTTGTTGCTCTCTGAGCTCCCTTATCTGGACGGCCAGGCCCACCAGATCCCCCCTTTTTCGAACATGCTCGAAATACAAAAGTCGTGCGACCGTACAGTAGAAACGTTAGCACGCCTTCCATACACTGCACGATTATCGTACGATCGCGGGATTTTCGCCCGATTCTCGTACGAGAATAGAGCAGTGTATGGGCACCTTTAGTATCCTGCGGGTCCCAGCTTGCACGTAGAATAGAACTTCCAGCTGGCAGTGACTGCGATCATCCAGCACTAAGCCCAGGAACTGAATTGATCAGCTCCTGGGATTCCAAACCAGATACTCGGCTCTTCATAGGAGCGCTTGTAGCATATTAATGTAAATACAATGCTTACATCTATGAAATGAGGTGACATCACAGCACTTCCACTTATCATGAAGGCTCGGGCAGAGCTGTTGCTGCTCTATCCAAAGTCTATATATGGAATGAATCCGCGCTAATTGAGAAGAGATTTAATATATAAAGACATTTTTTTTAAACCTGGGTTTAGGGTTAGAAAGCCGCCAGACAAAGGTTACTGTCTCCAAAGTCTCCCTGCAGCAATAGATCAAATTATATGAAAAACAATATTGTGCCGAGCTAATAATCATACATATCTAATAAATTGAAACATATATAAATGAGTCACATATATGAGCCTTCAAACAAATGAGGCATAGAAAATATCTACACAAAGAAAAAAAAAAAGAAATATAGACAATAAAAAGGCTCAAGGAAAAAACAAAAGCAAACAATGGTGATTGTGCAAAAAAAAAAACCCCTTCAGATGATTAGCAGCCAATCTGCATATAACTCTCAGGTAAAGATAATCACACAATGCAGGCAGTCCTTGTCCTTTTTCTCTTTCCACCTGGATTTATACTGGTACCTGTGATCTGAGGAGACCTTATCGCCTTTTCTGTGCATGGGCTTCCCTCCCCCATTAAGAAGGGAAAAAGTGCATTTGACCTAGCTCTGTGGGTCTACCTCCCCAGGTGAGCACTCACTTGTTGTCATCACTCACTGGGTGGAGGTGAAGGTCTGCCTGCATTGTGTGATTATCTTTACCTGAGAGTTACATGCAGATTGGCTGCGAATCATCTGAAGGGTTTTTTTTTTTTGCACAATCACCATTGTTTGCTTTCTTGTTTTTTCCTTGAGACTTTTTATTGTCTATATTGCGCTTTTTTGTATGTGTGTAGATATTTCTTATGCCTCATTTGTTTGAAGGCTCATATATGTGACTCATTTATATATGTTTCAATTTATTAGATATGTATGATTATTAGCTCGGCACAATTTTGTTTTCCACATTATCCAGATATTTAGTTATATCCTTAGTGCTTGGTAGCTCTTATTTCCACATTACACTTACTGGCGCTGATCACCTTTTATTGTTTATTTTTAGATCAAATGATATAGTGATTTATTACTGGCTTATTGCAGCCAGCAATAGATCCCTGTTAGAAGTGATCTGTTGCTGCACAGCTGCATGGTGGAGGGATCTGGATTTGATCATCAT